CTGAGGAATAAGGAGGTCCTGGGGGCCATGACAAGAGTCTTTGGGACATTCTCTTCCACAAAAACTTGATCATTTCCTCTCTACTCATATTTCAGTTCCCCTGGAGAATGTCAGAGTAGTGTTGTTTATTGGAAATGCAATATTTCCCACATACATGTCATACCTTTCTGGTTACTCATTACAGGTTAAGATTAAATAGTATGTTCATTATTGCACACTAGTACAATTATTCACATGTTTAATTCATAACATTACAGTCAATGATATCAATAACAGAAATTCCACAATTACTATCCTAACATAATATGACACATTATACCTTATGAGTGTATAATATTACTGTAAAATGATACTAAGTATGGTATATTGACTTGCTTCTACAAAATTAACATGATTAATTGCTTTTCTTATGTGTTTTGTTTTCATTCTTTTCATTATTGAAAGTTTATGTAAATTGAATATTTGCAACATATTGAAGTTTGAATTGTTCCCATGTGACCAATACTCAAATGGTTCCAGTGTCTACTGTGTAGGACAATAGAGCAATCCCAAAGTCATGAAACGTTTTAAGAACATCAAAATTTAGCACAGTAAAGTACTACCTTACTCCAGGTAGAATGGTTGTTTTAAAATCAATTGCTTTTGTGACTGGAAGTATGGAGAAATATTATACACAGTTAGATGAAGTGTAAATTAATACAGTCCTTGCTGTGTTAGTCAATTACATAAAAATAGACAAATTATGGGATTTATCAATCCTCCTACTGTACCAAATTGAAATAGAATAAAGTGGAAGTATTTACAAGATGTTACCCTACACCACTTACTGGAGTACTATTTGTGTTCACCAAAATAGTTTCCGGTATGCTCTGCTGCAATTGAATAAATATAATTAAACATAATGACTCATATATCTCAAAAGAGATAATATTGAATGTATTGTTCCCAAAGAAGTAAAAAGTTTCAGGTATAAATTGGCTGATTACCGTGATTCCATCAATATACAATGTTTCCATGTGTGAAATATCACATTTACCTCATAAATAAATATAGTTATCTCACAGCTGAAATATTTATCATATACACATAGTATTATACAGTGTATCCTTGGTGTACTAACTATTGATGAGGTGAGAAGTAATAAAATACAAATTCTTGAAATTGATGAGTTTGGAGAGTTCTCATTTTCCCTTTTCTTTTTAGCATGGTCCTATGAACTACAATGCAATACGTTGCCCATCCTATCCTAATGTCCCTGTATAAGACCATCCTAGAGGGACTTACATGGCTTAGGATTTTTTTTATTTCCCTCAGACACTGAAATGAAATGATGGTCAAGATTTATCTACATTTTTATTTAAGTTACAGTTCTGTGCATTGTGAATAATCTTTTTGATATAAGCTGATATTCAGTTTGCATGTATTTCATTGAAGATTTTTGATAGTCTATTTATCATGCTATTGGCTTGTAGTTTTCCTTGCTGTTTTTGTTATGTTATTACCCTGTTTTAGTAGTAGAGTAATAAAGGTGTTTAGAAATGCTCCTTCTGTTTGTGTGTGCGTGTGCGTGTGTGTGTGTGTGTGTGTGTGTGTGTGTGTGTGTGATTTAAAAAGTATTTGACTGTAGATCTTCAGTGTAAGTCTGGACGAATTCTTCTGTGAATCTCCCTGGTGCTGAACTTGTTTTTAACCTGGAAGGCTTTTTATTGCTGCTTGAATTTCCTCATTTGTTTTGGTTGTGTTAAAATTGTCCATCTCTTCTTAGTTTAACTTTGGTCAATTGCATGCACCTAGAAATTTATCAATATCTTTCACATATTTTCAACCTAATGGATGGAACATAGTTTATTCAAACATTTCCTTATAAAATATTGAATTGCCATGGCGCATTTTGTGATGCTTTCCTGTCTATTAATGACTCTACTAATTTGAGTGATCTCTTTTTTTCTTTTGGTTAGTTGGGCCAAGGCTCTTTCTTTATCTTGAAGATGGAGGAATACTTCAATATTCCCAAATCAATGAATGTAATAAATCACATAAATAGACCTAAAAGCAAAAAATTCCCATGATTATTTCAATAAATGCATCAAGAGCCATTGACAAAATCCATCATATATTCATGATACAAGTTATAGAATAAACGATCATCAAACATTTGTTAACATAGTAAAGGCTATTCATGCAATCTCACAGCCAAAATCATTTTAAATTGATAAAAAATTCTAGAAGTAATTCCAATTTAATCATGATCAACACAGAATTACCTGCCATCTACAGTCCTCTTCAATATGATCCTCAATGAAATATACCCACAAATTTTGTGAAGAAGTAAATAAATGTATTTAGAGAGCTTGTTCTGATAGCATAATTTATGGGAAAATTTAAAACTGCATTTCAATGAGTCCAATATTCACATAAATTTTGTATTATTGTGAGTTTATGTTATTGTATTAATGTATTTCATACTAAGCACAATATATTTCATACTAAGCACATGAAATAAATACTTAAGCAAATGTATTTCCTTAAAAAGATAGTATATAAAGATTTAATGAAATAAAATTGTCACTTTGCTTTTAGTGATTTAGGAATTTTGAAACAGTTAGCCTTAATTGTCAGCAACTTAAAGTCTAGAATAAATATTTTTCAATGAACAACTTGTATTTTTATTCAATTTCATATCAACACGCAAAAAAATAAAAATCACTACATAACAAGGCTAACAGGTCTTTCTATTGCTGAGATATGGGAAATTGAGGGAAGAAGACTTCTAAAAACAAAATGTATGTGTTGCCTTGATAAACATGAAAATAAAGAAGTATTAAGTCAGAATGGGATTGTAAGAAATATATGAATGTCATTAGAATAATAAAGGCTATATTGACCATTAAACCACAAATTCAAAATTTTTCACATAGATAATAATCGGTACATTTGAACATCAATGTACATCACAATCAGAACAAGACAACTTGTTAACTTCTGCAGTACACGTAGATGTTGTGTGAGACTTTCTACTAGGAGACACACATGTGTGTACTCACCACAGACAGGGAATTGATTGCAAATGGAAGTAATATTTTCACCAAATCCCAATTTGTTGAATTAATGAGTTTATTGGGGTTACTTAGAGGAATATGAGGGAACTGAAATGCAGTTTAATGACTGAAAACACAACCTCAGCTTGTTTGATAAACCATGGAAGTTTCCACTCTAGAGATCTCTGCATGACTTGAAATCATCTCAACAGTTCTGAATGACTCCTCCTAGCAGTGCACCTGATCAGACAACCTTCTGACCTAGCACTTGTTGACTGGTTCTTCATCTTTGGGAAGGCACTCATGAATCTTTGAAGTTTCAGTTTTCCCAGTCATGTGAACTGTGTTTGCTTCCTCAGTCTCATGAGCCTCCTTTATTGGAGGGACTGTTTCAATTCAAAGAGAATTAATTGTTAGAGAACAGTAGAATATATAGGACACTACATTCCTTGTGCAGTTTCACCCTACTTATTGTTTGAGAATGTCATCCATGTACACAATGTATTTTGATTAAGCCT